GGGGGGGGGGACGGACAGAGCCCCCCCCCGAAGAAAGTCTACCGCTCCCCCCCCCCCCCCGAACGAAACCGAACGAAATGTAATTTATATAGAAAATAATACTTTTAACACTGTCCGCCCCCCGAAGATTTAATTAAAGCTGTGACTAAAAATACGCTCAATAATTCAACTTCCATGTTATTTGTCAACTTCGTCCAGTGAACTACACCCCCGTGAATAATTAAATAAAGCTAAAGGTTATGTTAATGGCTCTTCCAACAAGGCAACAGGACATAACCCCTCCCCCCCCCCCCCCGAAATTTTTTTACCCCCCCCCCGAACGAAATTTATATAATTTATATAGAAAATATATACTTTTAACAGTGTCCGCCCCCCCCCCCCCCGAAGAAAGTCAACCGCCCCCCCCCCCCCGAAAATTTCAAGTGCCCCCTCGGAGAAAAAAGTCTGGTAGAAACACTGCTTTCAAGTTAGAATGCTAACTCTAACTAAAATTCTATATCTATAGATCTATACAGTTGCGTAGCGAGGTCGGGTGTCACCCGGTGCGGCACTTAATGGTGTCATCCCCCCTCTCCCCCAGAGACGTAGCGACCCTTCCCGGAGACAAACTTTCAAATTTTCGATTTGCACCCCCCCCCCCTCAAGTTTTTCTCTCTATATTTTTTTCTATTTTTTGCCTTGGTGTCACCCCCCTATATGGTGTCACCCGGTGCGGTCCGCACCCCCCGCTACGCCCCTGGATCTATATTACCTTAATCCTAACCTTAAGAAAAAGACCAAAACCTAAGCATTGTCCAGTGTGTGCGGAAGATGTTGAATCCATGCCTAGCCTTGCTGATGCGGCTTTTGATGTCTTCATCTGTTGTCCCATCATTGCTTCCCACATTTCCTATATGTGTAAATGTAAAGGTGGATTGCTTTACACGTCAAGGAAGTTGTGTGTTATTTCTTGTATCCTAAGTGGGGGCACCTGTTTGTTGTCAATTCTCATCACCTCTGTTTTAGTTTTAGAAGAGGCAGACATCGTCCGCAAAATCTAGGTTCTCCAGCTGTTAAATGAGGGTCCACTGAATTCCATATTTTTGGTCTGAGGTTGTTCTTCGCATCATCCAGTTTATGATCATCAAGATCATTAACAAAAGCGTGCAGCCTTCACATACTCCTCTTTTAACTGGAAAAGGGTTAGTCAGCTTGTGGATAATTGGTCTTTACAGAGCAGATGGATGGTATTGATGAATTTCGGAGGGATCCCATAGTGGTTCATCAACTTCATAACGACATCTCTATCTAAAATCTCAACTATCAAATGCCTTCTCAAAATCAACAAAGGTCATGTAGAGAGGCGATTGTTCAATAATTATGCGTGTAGTGACAAGTACATGATACGTTCTGGTGAAAACCTACCAGTTCATGTCTTAATTTTATTCTCCAAGGTCTCCTTCAGCCTCTCAAGCAAAAGTATGATTATTATCAAGTACCTTTCTAGGGACAGATAATAGCAGCTAAATACATATTTTTAACATATAGGTATACCGATCGATGCATTGTAAATTAATTTTCTGACTTTCAATTCAAATGCGCTTCTGGTTCTAGAGAGAAATATTTAAGACTAAAAATATTTACTGTATGCGGCACTGTTCCAGCCACGATTGGATCGTTTATAAATGATGTGGCACAAAGACTATTTAACCGTTCAGAGCCATAGTTATTCTATATTTCACTAGTCAGCTCTACTGAGGTTGTTAACCTCTGCACTGTTCTAATTAAACGTGTTTTAAACGTACTATTGGTATACACTGATACAGGTTACTTAAACTCATAGAGCCGCTGTTCCTCTACATTTTTAAAGAAATGAACTATCATATGTGGAGTTTTATCAGAAACGTTTTGGTGATTTTTTAAAATGCAGTTTGTTTTATACTTCGCTTTTTAATGTAATCAAAATGGGAATCAATGCAATATGAAAAAAAATTATGTGCTGAGTTCAAAAGATTGAGTTTGTATCAAATACTTTTAAAGGACCGAACGGCCTGGCTGTAGAGCACTTAGACTTCTCGAGTTCGAGTCAGTAGATGGGTACCTACATCACATTAGGGAAAGTAAAGGCTGCTGGGCATAGTGTTGACCACCCTATCTCTTTATATGCTGAGGTAACTGAAACAAGTTACCTCTACTTTCCCCACAGAACGTCAGGCTTGAAAGAGAACTTTACTTTTTCAGATACGTCACTTTATAGGTTGGCAAAAAAAAAAGTTAAAAACATTTTTTCACTACTTGAGATGAGCAAATTTGTTATCAACGATTGCAGAATCTTGAGTTCTTAGCATAGAAACTTTTGCACGGTTTTAAAAAATCACCTAAATTTTAGTGAATCTTGAGTCTGGATTTGGGGCATTGATACTCTTTTAGAACAATTACATATAAAGTAAGTATAGGCTAAAATTCAATTTCATTGCAATCCTTCCACAAGTTGTGACATCATTTAGTTAGGGACAGTTAAACTGATTATCCAAAAACTAAATGTTAAGATTGAGAAAATTAAGGCAAATAAAATCAGCCAGTTTATTAATGATTCATTTCCTTGTCAAATCCAACAAGCTTAGTTGTTTTGCAAGCAATGAAAAATAACAGCACTTGTCACATATATGAAATGTATTTTAATTTACAAATTTCTCAAAATGCATCATATTTCTCAGAATGCCACAAATTGAATAACTTATTACATAACAAATTCTATTTGTATTGTACAGTTTAAAAAACCAACTTGGTCTGGTAATGATGCACGTGATAAAACAAAGGGCTTGACAGAACCTAACATAAACCATAGGATCAATTATTACACCGTAATTAGATCTAAGAATTTTTTTATACAATCTGTAACACCTACAGTAACAGCATAATTATATTTTTGACTTCATTTCAGTTAGGATTTAGTCAAAAAACAAACTAATCCCATTCAATTTTAAAATACAATACATAACCATGTAAATGTAAAAGACTAAAGTTCTTTCAAGCCCAGAGTAAGAAGTTTTATACACTAGTCAATGTTACAAAATTTAGGCTCCATTAATACCTACATCACATTTGCTAAAATACATGAACACATGACTATCACACATGGCTGTGATTTCAACAATCTCTCAAATACTTTATTATGTCAGCATTTTGTATATCTTATAACTATAATAATACGACAATTGTCTAAATGCAGCATTAAATCCTAACTGAAGATTTTCAGTAATTTAAAAAAACAGAACTAAAGCCGTAAATGATTCTTCAACAAAACTTGCTATTAGTTAACATAGGAGACTTTAGTTAATTTCGGGGATAAACTGAGACGCTGACATACTCAATATTATTTAAAAATGCTATCTGGATTTGATCAATAGTAGACTACACCTAGGATTCCATATCAGAAATATCTTCCCAGTTTTCCTAAATGAAAAGAGGAAGAAAAGTTTTTTTAGTTTAACAGTAAGGTGGTATAGTTAAAAATCATGTTATAAATAATATAAAACTGAAGCAAAACAAAGACAACACCGTAACTTAGACATTGTTGGTGCTCTATAGTGAAGATTTTAAAAATCAGAGTACATATATAAAATCAGAGTATATATAAAACCATGTTAATGAGACTTACATCAGATTCTAAGGCTGTACCATCAATCACCATGCTGTCCGAATCACTTGAATCTGATTCTAAAAATTAAAAGAAAAAAATGTAAAAAAAAAAAAAAAAAAAAAAAAACTCCCAAAAAAGAATAAAACCACCCAACAAATCTAGAGGACTTGTACATAATAAACCCAATAGATATAAAAATAAACCCCATAATTTTCTAGCTAACTGTATGGAGAGTGAATATTAGCAACACATCATCCTTTTGCTTTAGGATTAAACATATTTAACTCTTACAGCATAGGGTTCTTAATTTTTTTCTGATGCCAGTTGATTACAATTCTGTTATTAGAATCAGTTTCTTCAAGTTCAATATATGGGAACAGTTTACAAACACAAATTAAAGTATTTGATCATTCATTGCAGTACAATGTAGTGTTTATTTGAAAAACGAATAACAACCCACTAGCCTTGTAGTAATACATAGTGAAAGATTTTGAGTTAAAAAAAATAATCATCTAACTTATGTCTCCAGATGCCAACCTCAATATTGTAGTTAGTTTATGCTATTAGGATATTCATGCCATATGTTTTCTAAATCTAATTTAGGGGTTAAAAGCTACAAAAATGATATAAAAAGACACGAAAAGAAGAAAAAGGACTGACTACCCTGAAGCAACACGTTACAGCTATAACTGTGGGGTGCCGCCTGACCTACTCTTAAAAACTGACACTTTGGTAATGATGTCCACCAAAATGGACATTTTGTAAAGCAACAAAGTTTCGTTAATGAAAGTTTCTATTTGATTTAATGAGATGAACAGTAGCAGATGAAATTTTTGTGTGAACTAAAGCTGAACTTATGTAAACAGGAGCTATTAGACTGAATAGACTACAGATACAAAGTATTCATATAAGTAAATAAAAAAACATACCATCTTGATAAACTAACAATGGTTCCGTTGTTGTGTCTTCACCTTCTTCTCTTAAATGTCTCTAAATATATAGAACATAAAAAAAAACACCAATGAAACATCTAAATGCAGATTATATGCTTGTTGAAGCACATCATAATCAGTTTTATGCATTGAAAATTGATTAAAAGGATATCCATAAATTATGTCACACCATAAGGATTTTGAGAGATGGGGAGAAAACATCTTCCGCGGGGAAAAAATGTGTGCCTAAGGAATGTTTGTAAGTGGTTTCAAAAAATTCATAGGCACTTACCTCTTGCTTAACAAGATCTAATCTTCCTTTTAACTGCAGCATTTGAGGGTAAAACTTCTGTCTTGAAATCAGTGTTTGGTACAGTTTATTCATAGTTGCTATTATCTCAGGAACCTATAAAGTAAATTGGTCTAAATGTATACTTTTATTTATCGGTATAAAAATGGTCCATGGTATTAGATGAATAGAATTACTGTTTCTTTAACCTCTGTATATGAAAGGATTGTAGGTAGCATCATTCCCATACACTTTTAATTTCCTTAACTTCAGGTACCCATGAAAGCTGGGTGCACTCAAGGACATCCTACAAAATCAAACTTTGGAACATCTTTAAAGTTGACGCTCATCTGCCCGAACCTACTTCATACACTTTTAAGTAAGTTCACTAATCTATTCAATAAATAAAAGACATTCACTTACAGACAAGATGTATGAAGTATGACAAGATATTAGTGAAGAGGTCCATCTGCTCAAGCTCCATGCACTGAAATAGTGGATATGATTGACATTTTTTTATCAATTGTCTAATAATTTATTAACACTAGTGCATAATCTTTTTAGTAAATGCAATGCAGAAAGAGAGCTTGGAAAAACAACTTACTGTTGTGAATGACCTGTCATCCCCTTTTCAATTTCTTTTACAAGAGGTATAATACAAGATACTGGTAACTTTTTAATTGTGTTCCTAACAATAGTTTCATTTGTTTCCTGGAAGACACCCTAATAGAGAAAAAAGTTAATGTATGATTTAACAGAAAAACTACTGGGTTTTTATTAGACGTGAACTGTTGAAAAAAAATAAACACAACGTACTGTTAAAATTTTTGAATCTCCACTTAGCAAACCTTGTTGCAAAAGCCTACTTAATGTATTTGCTACAGGTGGCTGCTTGACATTTACTTCACTTGGTGTATCTGTACTCATTGCAGCAAGACGTTCTTCCACTGTTAACTAATTAAAAAAAAACATTAAATTTTTTTTTTTATATATCCCTTTTACTAAACATGATCTATTTTAACTGGGAAAAAAAAAGAGTATTAAAAATAAATTTCTTGCCTCTGAAACAGAAGTCCTCCTTAATCTATTCTTGTCTTTATTTCTAGTGGCAGTCAAAGGCTGAGAATCTGCAGGTATCAACGTTGTCATATGTTTTGATATTTCTGGGCGTTTGACCTGAAAAATATATTTAAACACAACCAATGCAAAACGATATAAAATTTAATTGCAATTTTAACACAGAATAAAAGATCCACATTAATCATACCTGTGAATATTCATCTTTAACTAACGTCTTAGCGGGTGCCATTAGAGATATAACAACTTCTGGTTTTGAAGTATCATACACCTTGAGAGAGAAGTGAAGGTGATAGTTTAAAAAATCATGAGAAAAAAAACAACCATCAAAAGAACAACCCATATTTTATCCTCTTTAAACTAAAATACTTACAACTTTCTCAAAAATGGGTTGAACGGGGTTTCCACAAGCCACAGTGACATTACCAGGAATTAAACATGAGGCCAAAATAGGAACATCCGACTTGTCTGAAGCATCACCACTACCCCCCATGACAGCCTTTACAGTAACTTTAGAAACTAATGGTTTTTTCTTTTTACTGTAACATAAAATTATTGCAATTTTAGTAAAACTAGCATAGAATAAACATAAAACTTAATTTTCAAATATGCACATTATCGGTTTGTAAGAAAAACATCTAAAAATATATTTACCCATTTAAAATGTGTTGAAATATATATACAATGCCTTTCCGTGTAATAACTGCCAAAACAAGTTCCTATAACATACAAAGAAGAAAAGAGTTATGAATGAATGGTTGTCTATAGAAGATAAAGTATGAATTAAACTATTTTAATAATTTATCTCAAGTTGACACATATCTCACCTGTGACAACGAAGAAGGCTTTGATAATGACATAGAAACTGGCTCATCTGGAACTGAAAATGAAGCTATGGAGTTCTTATCTTTAACAGATTCACTGCAATTCCTAAAGAAGAATTTTTTTTTAGCATTAGCAAAGACCAGAACACTGAATATATACTTCAAATGCTGAATTTGTCTATCATCTGCTAATGAAAATGCATAAAAAAGCTGACTAACCAAACACTGATGTGTCTATCATCAACTGCTGCTGACAATACATAATTGGCATCATCACTCTCTGGGCCTTGCCAAACTGGTTCAAGTTGAAATATTGGAGAAGAGTGCCCAGTAAAGGTCTGAAACATTAATAGAAATTAACTTTAATATATAATCAGCAGCACCACTAATCTTTAAATGTATTTTATTTAAAAGAAATTTAAAATTGTAAACATTGAAATTTAGATATACATTTTTATAAACAATTACTTTTAATTCAAATAATACTTAATTGACAGTTCTTTAGTAATACAACATGTTGACTTAGTAACAATGAATTAAAACACCCAACTTAAACTTTAATTGATGGCACATATAACAGAGTATTAGTTATATAATTGTACAATGAAAATGATGCCTTACTTTAATTTTCAATAACAGGTCATAAAATAATGTATTGTATTACTGGGTAGTATAACTACATAAGGTCTGATCTAATTCGATAATGAAGTACATTCGCATAAATCTAAACCTGCATTTTCTTCTGCTTTCAAACTGCCACCCACTCCTCCATTTTAGGTAAGTTATTTAAAAAAAGCTAGTAAAAAGGGGACTCTTGTAAAACGTAAACCTAAGATTTGAGGAGATGCCTATGGTGATTCAATTTTCAGTTTCATATTATAGATTGCCAGTGACACAATTTGCTTTTAAGTTCTTCCACAAGTGCAAGAAACACGAGGCAGCATATTCTTATTTTTTTAAATATAATGTAAATATTTGAAATGAACTATTGCAATAAAACAGCACTTTTTAACAAAACCATTAAAATAAATTGTTACCAACCTGCAACAAAGTTCTAGTTTCTATGTCCCACAATTTGATATTATTACTTGCTGTGAGTAGCCTCTGTTCAGCACAATGACACACAGAGTAAATGCTTGATGTATCACATTTCCATTTGCTTAAAAAGATAGTGTTTATTGTTAGAACGAAAAGATATGTTATTTTTTTTAGTACATCCATAAAAACACTTAAAAATAAGCATCAGACAATATGTATTTTAGTAAACGTGGGCCAATTATTTTTAATACAGCGATTACGTTTTTTCATATTACTAGACTGGCAATTGAAACACCAAACACAGATTACATACTGTCTAACTTTTCCTTTCTTTAAGTCCCAATGTACAACAGTCTGGTCCTCTGAGCAGGTAAAAAGTTCAGGTTTAGAAAGATGCCAACAAGCATTATTTACTCTTGAAACATGTCCACCTGTCTGTTAAATAAAATGCATGCAACCCTCAATTTGCTGATCATGAGAAATACAAAATTGCTTTTGAATTGTAGTCTGTATATGCAGCTAACACTGGGTAATTTATATACAACAGTTATAGCTAAATGTATTGGGATAAATAAAGCTTAAGTCATTCACTTTTTATTTATGTTTCATAATTTTAAAACAAAAATATTAACAGCATGCACTAAGTATTTCACTTGACCATTGCTCAATTTAAGAATTTGATTTCCAGAAATATCTACTCTATTAATTTAAGGTGAAACAAAAATGAATAGGAAAAACAATTCTAACCAATTCTGTGTGAAGTAATCCTTTGGCAAAGCTGTATAGATTTACAGTACCAGCAGTTGTACCTAAAGCAATCAATTTTAGCCCATCTTCAAAATGTTCCTCGTCATAAGATTTGCTCAATCTTTTTTTCTTTGCTTTAGGCGGTGAAGACTGAAAAATAAAATTATATAATATATACACATAGGGCCTACATAATGAAACATTTATTCTAAAATTCTACAAATTTAAGATTACCGTGTATAAAATACTTTTAAGTAAATGTCAACTAGTTTGTCAAAAAAATAAAAATAATATTGATTAGGCCTACTTCACGATGGTTTTTCTCGTTTTTGTCAGTAGACTATAGGGGCCTACATGTTAATTGGAAATGGCATAGGCCTACTTTTAACAGTGCTGACAAAACTAAATTAGATAATTTTTTTTAGTTTACAATTACTACTAACAACCCAACACCCCTTTTTATAGAAGATTCCATTACCAGACACCGGTATCTATAATCATCCTCTTGTTTTCTTGAACAATAATAATTGTCATTTATTGTGTTTGAACCACAAATACACAGTGACAAAAGCTTTGAAAACAAAGAAAACAATTCTACTTCATAACTAATTGCAGGAGAAGAGCTTTTTAAACTGGTTAATTTACCATCAATTAAAAGGTTATTGATGTGCAAAAGCAAATATCGTGTCCCCAGTATCAGTAGATCTAAGTAATTTAGCAATGGGAGTTTTCGTGTCATATTTTTACAGCACACAGTTGATACGACAACCAAAATAAAAAAGTTTACAAACTAGATCTACTAAATTTACCATCACTTAAAAGGTTATTAATGTGCAAAAGCAAATATTGTGTCCCCAGTATCAGTAGATCTAAGTAATTTAGTAGGCCTAATCATCCCTAATGGGAGTTTTCGTGTCATATTTTTACAGCACACAGTCGATACAATAACCCAAATAAAAAGGTTTACAATCTAGAGTAGATCTACTAAATCTAAATTATTCTAGTTCTAGTAACTAGACTAGAATATCTATTATCCAGAACCACACTCAACAGTATCAGAGACCAGATGGAGATTTTAATTTTATGGTCTGAAAATAATGAAATTTTAAAAAATAATATGATTGGAAATGTTGGTAGAATCTAGATCTAGACAAAATCTTGGCATACACTAGAGTTACATATTATTGGGACTACTGGATCTAGACCTATATAATCTTAATAAGGTAGATAGATTAGTAATCAGTTACAATGTGTTTGTTAAGGTAAAAAATGTACACAGGTTGACATTTTTAAAATTTTTATTTTTTAAAATAGTTACTTTTACAGATTCTTTTCGGTGCCTACTCCATGTCAGTGATGATGTAGTTGCTGAAAGATGAGAGCTAGAACTGTATTCTTGTTTGAGTATACCAGTCGCACATTCAAATATTCTTAGAGTACCATCTGAACTTGAATGTGCGAAATATTCTCCATCATCTGAAAAGCTACTGATGTGTGTTGAGGCCATTTTGTTTTACACTGCACGTGTAGAATAAAAAAAAATAGAACTTCTCTGGCGGAAGAGCCCTATAGACAAAATAATAAGATTCAGATAGCGTAGGCTAGCCTAATTTTCGATATTGACTGTTGTCATCTATGGTGCCAAATGTAATAAAAGAAAAACTAATTATATTTGATTAAAGGGTATTTACCTTTATAAGAATATGGGACTAAAATTCATAACCAAATATGAAATAGAAAACATGAAAACGAATATATTAATTCTTGCAGCCTACAGCATACATTTACATAACATACAATTATTTATAACGACTGAAACATTCGATTTACACATACTTAGTTGCTCCAATTTTAAAACATTATAGATCTACCATATTATTATATATAGGCCTATTATAAATGTAATCGAATATAAAAGTATATGTACTGAAGTTTATTAGGAATTCAAACTACAATGGGCATTTGGAAATATTTATTAATTTTATTAAAACACAACGATAGCCCGTTTGACAGTAAATCTTACAGCTTCGGTGGTTTATTTTTGGTTATTTATAAGCAAATTTATACTAAACCTATACTAGCAAGCTATGTTTAGAAATATTTTGAAATTACTCAGGTCGTTAACAAATATCACACTCCTATGGTGAAGGGGAAGAGTTCGGACTTTTGGGTGGGGGATAGGATGACATGCGACAGCATTTTAGGTGTTCTAACTTTTTGTGACGATGTGATGGTGGGTAAAATAGTTCAAAGAATGCATTACTTAATTTTTATGGTCGATTTCCTGAAAGAAACAATAGTGTCAGATAGCCAGTATCTTTCTATTAATACAACCATTTTCAATGGCAATATTTTAGCAAAACTTTTAACTAAAATAAAGGCAGTTGTATCTCAACTCCGTGTAACCCAATATAGATAATAGTAACCCCCTTTCACGAGTATTATAATCTCTATATATAATTCTCTTCTTGGAGACCATAGAAAACACCAAGTTGTAAGCGCGACTAGCAGCCCCCTCTCTTCCTCTCTAGACATATCGCTACCACCCCCACCCCCACATGGTCTGGTGAGCTGTGGTTCACGCTAAATGTTTACAATAGTAGAGCCGGGTTTAGTGACGACTATTAGGGGCAGATAATTTAGTTTGAAACGATTTTAAACTTAGTGGTGGTAACTAAGAGGAGGCTGCTTTTAAGGGGGGGGGTAGGGGGGGGGGAAAGGAGGGTTTTTAGTGTTTTAAAGCAAATATTTTCAGTGGCAGCATTGGTACTGTCGAATTCACAAATTATGAATTACTGAAAAGTAGAAAATAAAACAACTAAATAGCGGCGTATGATACGCCGCGGGTCGGCTCGTATTATATAATATCATAATATATACTTATATTGGCTACAATTTTAAATTATCTTTTTTTACACTTCACTTGCAGATCTTTATGTAGACACTTATTCACAGTGACTGACGTCGAACTATTGGCCCTTAAATATATAGATTCTATCATCATCCAAAGACTTAAATAAAAACAATCATTGTAACCGGTCATGCAAGCTACAAAAAAAATAAAAAATAAAAAATAAAAATAAAAAAAATAAATCAAATAAAATAAATTAATTAAAACAACTGTACACTAGGTTATTTTTAAGTAGGGACGTAAATTAGTATGACCACTTGTTTATTTTTTTTTTTAACAGCCCACTTCCTCCTTTCGTTATTTTTGTTAGTATCAAATTCTTAGTCTGTCTAGAATAGATCCACATTTGTCATTTGGTTTAAATTTCCGATAAAAGATCTAACAGGTCTGTCTAGACTAGAATCTAGACTATATCGATCTATCTATCTAGACTCATATATAAATAGATCTTTCTAAGTCTAAGGACTTTCTTCAACATGTCAGTTGAAGAATTAGAACAGGTAAGAAATTCTGGTAATCTGTCGTTTTAGGTAGGCCTACGTAAAATGTACGAAAAAGTTACCTCATTGTCAAGGTTTTAATAGAAGTATATTGTGATATATTATTATATTTGTGTCAAATATTAGGCCTATAGATAAATGAATAATAAACCTAACTAAATGGTAATCTATCGTTTTAGGTACGTAAAATCGGCCGCGACTAGTAATGTGAAAAACAGGTGACTCTTTACATTTTAATAATTATTTCACATTTTGAGGAGGACTTATGTTTTGAAAAATACAAAAATGTCTCCTTGTTTCATTTATGTACCTGTTTTTAAACAATTGAATTAAAACTTTTCAGTAATAAATGAACACCAGCGATGTTTCCAACAGATGCAACCACGCTCATTTACTATAGCAGCCATCTTGTTAAAGTTTTATTTTTATAGACATATAGCGCGAGATTCTCTATTGTACAAATGGCTGCTGTTTATATAGCAAATCTTACTTGAAGACACAGCTGTTTAAAGTTAATTTCTGGCCTATATTGATATATATTATATTTAGCCATTGATTTAGGTTTATTATTCATTTATCTATAATATTTGACACAAACATATCACAATATACTTCTATTACAGCCTTGACAATGAGGTAACGTTTTCGTACATTAATAGCCGCGGGCGATTTTACGTACCCAAAACGATAGATTACCACCTAAATCAATAGGCCTAGGCCCTAAATATATTTATTTTCATAGAACCGTTTTAGCAATGTACGAGTATTTAATATTTTCTTCACGTTAGGTGAAAGAGTAAAAACTGTGGCAACTATAAAATAAATTTAAGTCGTTATATAAACAAACCCTACTCTGATCATTATTATTAGACAATGCAATGAAATTGAAAAGCACTGCATGGTTTGAAGTTTATTTTTATGGTTCCAAAATCTATAGCGATTATGGTGCCACACTACCACAACAGTTATATTATAGATGTACATTTAATTATTTATTATACTATAAGTTAACAGTAACTATAGAGAGAGACTTAGTGACAACAGTAAGAATATACTGAAGTGTACCGTAAGACACTGTGATGACTGTGTAAAAGTACTCAGTTAAAGTAGTGAGTAGTGTAAGACATTGTATTTTGTAAGTTGAGTTTAAACACTGGTAAGATGCAAAATGGCAAAGCTGTAAAATGCAAGAAGAAAAATTCAAGTCATACCTGCAGAATTAGGGGTATATACAGCGAGACACACATTGCGATAAAGATTTTTTCTTGAGATAGGGATGAAGAAATGTTAGGCCTATAAACTAAACAAGTAGATCTTTCATTAGTGTTGTGTTTGTTTTTTATTTGTCTTGATCTAGAATTTAACAAAATTATGCCAGTTCTAAACATTGTTGCTCCTATAATCACTGCTCATGTTTTCTTGTCAGGGGGAAAAAATCAAAGGGTCACTGAGTTCAGATTAGTTTAGATATTAGTAGGCGAATAGCATAGACATTGCTATCTGAATTGTAGACAACATCACTTTTTTCCCTAAACCAATTATTTAAAAAGATTGAAAATTAAAACAATAGAATGAAGTTGTTGAATCCTCAACAAATTTTGGGTGCATTAAAAATTGGAACACCAGATTCATTAGATGTAAAATAACATTTGCTGCGAGTGGCTACATTATAACAATATCAACTTATAAAGTGTTAAAAAATATAAGTCAGCTTCAAAGGTTGCTTATGTAAATCATCGGCATGTTGGAATTTGGGTGAGGAAAAAAAATTTCAGGTATCAACGCAATTTACCTACACCAAGCCTACATTTGGTTGGGGGTAAAATGTGAGACAAAAATGTCACGTGGCAGGCAGTTTTTGCACCCTTCTAGCATTTTACTGCCTTGCCATTCAGCTTCTCGCATTTTACCAAGACCCAACTGGCACAACTGGTTTTAAATACAAGTTTAAGTAACAAGAAATAGTTCAAAGTAGTAGGCCTAATCATTTAAAGTTAATGTAGTTAAATCTTATTAGATTTAATTCACTACACTACAGACTAACCTAATAATTTTGGAATCCATAAGTGATGTCCAACTCCTATGGAGAAAGGGGTTATAATTATGCAATGAGGGGAGGGGGCTCAGATATTGTGACATCACACTTTAGCATTTTGAAAAGTAATGTTAGAAACTGAATTTTAGCACAGGTTTTTGTGGATTGCAATAGAAATTGATTAATACACCTAGTTCCCTCAGTATTCTAGAAAAGGATTGCTGTTTTGGTAGAATTTAAATTGCGATTTTGAGGAGTGCTGTGGCTGAGGTGTGATGTCTTTTTTTTGGGGGGGGGGGGGGGGGAGTGTGTGTCTGGCATTTTGTGACAGTGGTGAGTTGTGAGGTATTAATCTATTATTAGACCTATAGTATTTTAGTAAGCTTAAAAACTAAAGAAATTAAAAGAGATTCTGTGTAGGCTACATTGATAGTTTATTTGGAGTCTCTGATTCAGGAAGTTAACAGAAATAATTTTTTTTTTGAAAACGTAATTTCCTGTTTTTATAGGCATTTTTAAAATTTACAATCATATAGTCATAAAAGAAGCCAGAAGATATTTTCATGTTTGCAACTAACTGTTAAAAACATGTGTTATTCCACAGGAGCCCTTTAGTGTTCATGAATTTGTTGAACGTTTAGCATGGAAAACAATGGGTGCAACAGCAAGAAGTAGCCCAGAAGAGTTTGATCCCATGATTTTGTACACAGCCTTTGAAAAGATGATACGGGAATTAAAGGAGAAAAACAGCTCGGTAAATCATTTAGCCTATGAGAAATTTAGAGCTCAACTGTATCCTTTTTAATACTACTGTCTAAATTTTCTTTACTTTATAGAAATTATGCATTAAAAAAAATAGTTTTCAGCATTTTCTCTTGAAAAAAATTGTTTTAGAAATATTCCTTAAATTTTACAGCTATTTTACTAACAAAAAACATTATGTTTTTTTTTTTTTTAAATTTAAAAATTATATTAGATGAACAGTGTTAGCCAAAGTAACACAATAAAGTTACCCTTAGTGACCTGATAAAATGGCTGATGAATTAGAGTTCTCTTATTTTTTTTAAACTGTGAAGAGAAAGTGTCAATCGTATGCCCAGTCAGTGAAATAAACATGAGATATTTGGCAGTCAGTGGGTTTTAGTGTATACAAATTACTGAAAAGGAATGTTTTGTATTGATAAGTAAACAAAGTATAATAACTAGTTGAGGGAATGGACTACTCATATGTCAGCTATTATTATTAGTAATCTGTTTTTTTTAAAAACTACTTTATAGGTTCAACGAAAAATAGATAATTTAGAATCTGAATGTAAAGATGAAGAAAAACGCCACTGGAATAGGGTTGCTGAGTTGCAGAAAAAAAATCAGGTGTGTGTCTAACTTCAGGTTCTCTTTAGTTTTATGAGCGCTGTTATCAACCTTAATCTTTTGAATAAATTAAGAGAATATTTTAGCTTCAAGTATTATTAATACATTTCTTCAGAGTAATTTATTCCTCATAAGATCTTTAGTTTTTTTAAATTAAAAAATATTTCAGACATTGTACACAGATTTTCAAAAATTAGATGAACGTATTTCATACGTGGCTACAAAAGTCGTTCATCTTGGTGACCAGCTGGAAGGAGTGAACACACCTCGAGCTAGAGCTGTAGAAGCCCAGAGACTAATGCATTATTTGGGAGAATTTTTAACAGAGGAACCACTCAAGTCACCTGTTTTGATAGACCCATTTCAGGTTGTTTGACATCCCATTGTCTATAATGTTTCAAAATCTTATTGTGCAGTAGTTTCTTGGTAACAAATATACCAACCTATTTGATTGTTAAATACTTTTTATGATAAGGGTTTTAAAAATGTTTTTATATTATAGCTGCACCTGACTGCTGATGTTATACAGAAGCTTCACCTAATAGCTTTAGAGCTACCTGTTGGTGGAAGGTGTGTGGGGATTGTATATCAATTTTTTTTGTCACTAGTGCTACATGATGATTTGTGTAAAATAGTGTAGAGTAGCATTTTCATTTTTAAATGTGATTAGATGTCTATTTGTAATACTTTATGCAGGGATGTGACTTTTCCGAATTTTAGCGGAAATCCGATTTTTCCGTATCAGTTGCGATTTTCCTCCGCTGATTTAATTTTCACCGAATTTTTCCGCCGACTTTCAATTTTTGTCGATTTTTAACGAAGTTTTAAAAATTAGGAGAAAAAAAACGGAAATGTCTTCTACGGAAAGGGCCGACATGCTCATTCCACTTATTCGTATTTAGATTTAAATCGACAACTACTGTACTTAGGTCAAACGAAACCTCGAATATGCGCATTTCTTTTTTATTGGTCGATTGCGCTAGGTCTGACGGTGCTAGATCAAGATTAAATGTAGATTAAGATTCGAAATTTCGCCGGACTTATGAATTTTTCAAAGCAAAATTTTTTTAGACCAAATTTTCCGCTATTTTCAGTTAACTATTTATCAAAAACAGGGGAAAAATAACCTAAAATAATGCAGTTATTCAAATGAATCTTACATCTCTTAAGCCTGGTAATTTAGCTATCGATATAGCCTAATTTATCTATCGGTATTTTAACCCGCCAAAATTCATTTCATTTTTTCATCACATGAACCTAAAACTTTCAAATTATAACTAATCTTTACAGTTGAAGACAAATATTTTTACCAATCCAATCTTGAAAAGAATATAAGGCATTAGGCCCCCTATTTAAAATTAAAAACTGGAGTACATCTAGAATCTACACTAGATTAGTTCAGTTTAAATTAGCTCAATGGTAAAATAAAACTTAATTGCTACTTTTGTTACATTGTAATTTTTTAAAAGTTGTTTATAAGGTAAACATTAAATTGCAATTAGACAAGACTTTCAATGTTATTTTAGAGTATCATAAACTTCTTGTATTTAAAATATTAACTTCATTAAATAATTAATTAGTACAGTAACAGTATGAAGCTGCTTAACTGCAATATGAAGCTGCTTAACCGCGATAAAAGGTAGATAAAACATATTGAGTTATTATCCGAAGAAAATTTCCTAATTTTTTTTTCCTGGTCTGGTCACATCCCTGTTTATGGTTATCTTCTCTTTAAAGTATTATTACGGATTTTCTCTAGTTTTTAATAATTGTTTTTAATCTCAATTAGGTTTGACATTGCAAGACAAAGGATTGCAGGTAACTAAGTATCTATATAAAGTGGTATTCAAAATTTGAAAATTCCTTGGCAAGAAAGAAATTTAAAGAAAATCCATTGTAAATAAATTGATTAATTTAAAAAATGATAGATAAAGCTTTTCTAATCAGCTGTAACTATTTTACTAGTAAGAGATTAAAATTCTCTTTAATTAGTTATCCTATGAACATGAAAGTATTTGACTTTATAGATTCTAAAATCTACTTTGACCAAAATAATTATTTAGAAATAACCATTATACATTTTAAATACCAGAGTGTGTTTCTGGACTATTAACAATTTAAAAAAAATTGTAACAGAAAAATATGACGCAGTAGAAAAAGAACTAATTGAAGAGTTCAGAAAAGGGCAACAAGCTGGTGATAGAAGACAAATGCGCAAAATTACTAATTTGTTGCAGCACTTTAAGGTTAGACATTCCATCACATTTTTAAACTAGAAATTTTACGTTAGATTAGTTAAGCTTTCAAAATAAGAATACTTTCGGTCTATAGAAATAAACATTGCCTTTCCTTCGTTAATTTTGATAATATATTTAATTTAATACGTATATTTTCAAGTCAAAAGTCATTTGTGATAACCAATTTTTATTTTATAAAACTAATATTTGTTTTAACATCACATGCTTACATGGCAGCAGTGTTTCTTCCAGACTTTTTTCTCTGGAGGGGGGGGGGGGGACGAGATTTTTGGGGGGTGGACACTAGTAAAAGTGTATGTTTACTATATAAATTCCATCTCATTCGGGGGGGGGGGGGGGAGGGGGGGGGGGGAGAGACCCCTGAATAGATGCCTGGAAGAAACTCTGCATGGCAGTTGATTGAAGATAAGACACATCAGTGATGCCATGAGATATAGGAAGTTAATGATTAAAGAAATATTAAACAAATTGTCCAAGGTTTAATGTAAATTCAACAACTGTTTTCAGAGTTATGGACACTGTATTGATGTATTCATAACAGAGTCTCAAAAGGTATAAACATTTTAATTCTATTTTTATATGGTTGCTATATAATTTTCTAATTCTCAGACAGATAGGCTAAAAGTAATTTTATAAAAATATCACTAATTTATTGCATCTAACAATGAAAGAAAGAACCAGTTCAATCAAATGCTTAGACTGATTATATTATGTTTTAGGGCGCGTTTAAGCACAGCAGCATCTTTGATGACATCGTTCCTCTCTGCGTAGAGACCAACAAATTGGCAAAAGCTGTGTTCTCTAATTCAGATGCAGTTATGAGCAAGTTGGTGCAGAATGTTTTTCTTGGAAGCATACAGGTTAATGTTTATAAACATTTAGTAATTTGATTTTTATAAAAGTGCTGAGCCTTATTTATATAGATTCTTTACAAAAAAATTGCACAGTTTTACTTTCCTCTTGTGCTGTCTTTTTTCTAGGGTCATGTAGCATCAAGACTAGAAAACCAGTCTGATCCTGAAGTTTATCTCAACAATTTATTTGACCTGTACATACGGTAAAATACTCTCTTTGCTCTGAGAAGTTAATGTTTTAAATATTCACCATAATAATGAAACAACCATTAACTTTGGTTTGTAATTATTCTTTATATTTCTTCCCAGGACATCCAAACTGACTGTGGATTTAGCAAAAGCTTGCTCTGAGCATGAATTCAAACTTGGAGACTCAACATTCTTGAACAAACTTACTCGCTCAATTTTCTCCCAACATTTGGAAAAATATATTGAGTAATTTAGTAGTTTTATACTCTCAATTATGGCAATATTGATTTTTAGGCTTTATGAAAAACTTAGATGAGAAGCACTAAAATTTGAAGCGTTATTTTTATTATAATTGTGCTATATCAGCTTTTATTTTTATTATAATTGTGCTATATCAGCTTTTATTTTTATTATGATTGTGCTGTATCAGCTTTTATTTTTATTATAATTGTGCTATATCAGCTTTTATTTTTATTATAATTGTGCTGTATCAGCTTTAATTTTTCAGTGTTGAGCTTCAGTCACTTAAGGAGCACTGCACAATTGTCCTGCAGCACTATTATGAAAAGAAAGATCACGTGAAACGTCAGATACAAACTGGAGGGTTAGTAAAATTTATTTATTCCTAACTAATTGGTTCATCATACATATGTATATGTAATGTAATTACTTAATTTTTCAACCAGGATCTATGAATTAAAACGAGATATTCAGGCTAGAATAGGAACAGTAACTAAGGGGGGCCAAAATATAGAAAACTTTGGTGGTGAAACATTCCTCTCTCAAGAAGTTGCTATAAACATTCTGCAAGATACAAAGAATGCATTCAAACGTTGTCATACTGTAAGTAAATTCACAGCTATTGATTTCCTGTAATGTTTTTTAACTTCTCATAAATATTTTTGAAGGGTTCATATTTCAATTTTAAAATGTTTCTTTCAGCTTTCCAGTTCTTCAGATCTAGCCTCAAATGCAATCAAAATTTTTGAGGTTTTGATCCAGTATCTAGTTGTAGAACACATTGATTATGCTGTAGAGATGGGGCTCTTAGGTGTGACATTTTAAATTGTCTTTTAATTTCATTAATGAAATAAATTAAAAAAATTTAAAACATTTCTCTTTACTACATTTATTTAATAAAAGCTTGTATAAATTTAAAATGACTTTTTTAAATAGGCATTCCTCCAGCTGAACCTAAGCTAGAACCAGAGATCTACTTCTTTGACGTGGTCAGTCAGGCAAACACACTGTTTCACTTGTTTGAGAAGCAATTCACAGACAGCTTCATACCACTAGTTATGTGAGTCATCTGTCCTCATACATTATTATAGAAATATACTACATTTTTTAAACAAAAATTATTTAAATTAAAAATAATTTTTTTCTGTTGAAGTTTTGGACATTTTCTTCATGTTACCTACAATTTTTAAGTACAAAAATATATTCCTAGGTCATCACAGCACCATGGCTTTTGTATGAAGAGGAAACGAGAGTTGAGAGAAGCAATGGAGGCAAAGATTGACACCGGCCTAGACAGGTCAATTAGTGCTATCATTGGTTGGATCAGACACATTTTTAACACAGAACAGAAGAAAACAGACTTTAGGCCAGAGTCTGAAGATGCTCCAATGCATTTACTGTCACCAGTAAGTCTTTAATTAGTGCTATCGGGTTACAGGAATAAGGTTTGCTATTAAGTTAGTTCTCTAGTATAAGACATTCTTGTTAGCTTCTAAAATAAAAATATTGAATTTGTTCTCTAAAGAATTATGCAAGAAAACAAAAATTTCTTTATGCTATCACTTTCAAAATGTTAGTTAAAACTTCACATTTTAAATTTTTTATTACTTTCAAAATGTTAGTTAAAAAAACTTGAATTTTTCTGTTGCCAGGCAGCCACCAATGTAACAAAGTTCCTAGCAGGTCAAGTGAAGGAAATCAAGAACAGCCTGGATGGTAAAAATGTTGAAGTCGTGTTAGGGACCCTTGGGCAGAGATTCCATAGACTAGCCTATGAACACCTTACCCAGTTTTCTTACAATTCTATAGGTAATTAAAAAATTAATTTTCTCATACACTTTTTACTTTCTTGTATATACGAAGTATAGAGAAAGTCTTGTAATCGTGCACAAAAATCACATTAATTTTTTTTACAATGAACAAAAGTTTACTTGCAATGCTATCTGTAATAGAATTTTTGGTCTCATACTGTTTAAAGTCTAACTAAAAACATAACTGCTGTTAAAATGTAAATATTACTTTGTAATACCCTTATGATGACATTTAGCTTAATTTTTCCTATAATTACTTCTTTTTTCCAGGCGCCATGTTAGTTATCTGTGATGTCAATGAGTACAGAAAATTAGTGAAAGAAGAAATCAAGATACCACTAGTGACCCAACTGTTTGAGCACCTCCATGCCCTGTGCAACTTGCTGGTTGTGGTGCCAGAGAACATCAAAGTTGTTTGCAGCGGGGAACAATTGGTAAGTGTGGAATGTGTTCCTGGCTCGTTAGCTGCTCAATTACATGGTTGCATTGAAATTCTGTGTGCTTTAAAGTAGCTCCTTACTCTATCAAACTATCCAATTCTGTGACTGTAAAGTAGCTCTTTACACTATTAAACTGTATCCAATTCTATGACTGTAATGTGGCTCCTTACACTATTAAACTGTATCCAATTCTGTGACTGTAAAACGGTTCCTTACACTATAACATTTTAGCCAATAATGTGACTGTAATGTCTATTAATAAAGCTTGTCAACATGCACATTATCCTTTCAATAATTTTCTGTGTTTTCAGGCTGACCTGGATGAAACCATAATCCAAAATTTTGTGCAGCTCCGAGCAGATTATCGTACAGCCAAGATTTCTACACGGCTGAAATAATCATTTTAGGTATAATTAATTAATTATTTTGCAGAAAAAAATTGAAATTTTTTTTTTTAACTCTCACAATATTTCAACATTATCTTGACAATAAAAGCAGTTTTTTTATTTTTTAAACTATATTTAGAAGCAGAAATACAATGGCTTTTTAAAATTAGGCTTATAAAATTATGCACTTATAACCTTAGACTAAGATTTTCAAAGTCATTCAATACATATTTTTTGGGGTTTTAAAAAAAATATCTTAAGGTAATTTAACTTTAGTCAGTTTTGAAAATAATTTTTTATTATGTTAAAAATACTTTGGAAGCATAAATAGTAAAAAAAAAATACAATTTGGGTTTGCATACATAATAATTGAAATTTAATAAAACAGCATAAAAAAGCTGTATCAAATTTATGAGCAGTTATCCAGTGGAACATTTTCCTATCGATCAAACTATAGAGTGATCAATATTCCTTTCTTTCTGGTTACAGGCTTATGCTGAGTATTAAATTATGCACACTATACTTTATAGCACCTTTGTATTGATACAACCATCAGTGGTCACACCAAATGTGAAATACTCATGTAAAGTAGAAAGTATGAAAGGTTAAATCCTAAAAATAGATATAAAAACTCCTGAAATATCAAATATTAAGATTACCTATAAACTGCTGTAGAAAACATTGTAATTCAAAATAAAATGCATGTATTTAATGAAATATGGAATGGTATAAATTAAATTAAAACCTAACATAAATAAATGGAGTGGAATTTGTTGCTGGAAGCTGGGCAGAGTGCTTATCACTCAATTGCTTCATACGGTGAATTAAAAGATATAGTTAACTCTACTTCAACTACCTCTGGGACAGTTAGGCCTGAAAGAATACTTTACCTACTACTTAAGTACTAACCTCAGGTAAAGCCATTACTTGATTCCAACCAGGATGTTGTGCCTTAAGTCATCTGTTTAGGGTGCCATATTTTAGATAGTGAAACAATGTTGAACATTTCTATCCAGCGGAGGGATTGGAAAGATCAAAGGGAGATAATTCATAATAAATCAGTAGTCAACTTGCTCATGAAATCCAGCAGCCTTGAGATCAGGACTTAAAAACTTACCATTAACTTGTAATAACTACTAATCAAATTAAGGAATTTTATGCTTTCAAAATGGTTTTAGTATATAATAAAATTTAGAGAAAAAACTTGTGCCTGAGAAAAATGATTGTAATTAAGATAAAATATTAAAACAAAGAGTCAAATATAGAGAGGATATAAAATGTGTATTCCCTTTAAGATGGAAGATACTAATTTGCTTCTTTTTATGTAAACATTAAAAAAAATTATTGACAATTAATTCAAGATATAAATAAGACACATTACTTAACACTTATTAAACAGTTTATACACTTCAAGTTATGTAATATAATTTTAAATGTTAAATAATTTTTCTTGCCTGTCAAGAAAAACTTGTGCCTGAGAAAAATGATTGTAATTAAGATAAAATATTAAAACAAAGAGTCAAATATAGAGAGGATATAAAATGTGTATTCCCTTTAAGATGGAAGATACTAATTTGCTTCTTTTTATGTAAACATTAAAAAAAATTATTGACAATTAATTCAAGATATAAATAAGACACATTACTTAACACTTATTAAACAGTTTATACACTTCAAGTTATGTAATATAATTTTAAATGTTAAATAATTTTTCTTGCCTGTCAAAGCTGTTGCTGTAGTCAGTCTAGTGCAATATTTTGTTTGTCTTGTACCATTTCATTCCAAAATTGTATGTTGTAATGATACAAGTTTGTGGCAACTTAGCACATTAGTTCTGCAGTGAATGCTTACTTTTTTTTTTTGTGCTAAACTTTTGTCTGCCAGAGGATACATGTGTATAGGAAATGTTTATTTATGGGTGAAAGGTGTATGGTTTGCGATACTTGTATCATATAATGTAGCAATGTTACCAATATAAAATAAATAATTTAAAAATTAAAAACTTTTTGTTACAATATCTGTCACCTTGTTGTAAGTTTGTCTGTGAAGGCCTTTTACGTTTTCAGATATTATTAATGTAAGGCAGTGGCGTAGCCAGGATCGTCTCAAGGGGGGGGGGGTTCCAATTTTTACCCGGGGTCAAACTTTCGATTTGCACTTCCCTCAAACTTTCGATCTGCACCCCCCCCTCATACTTTATATATATATATACCGAGGGTTCTATGGGGAGGGTTATGACCCCCCTACTCCCCCCTCCTGCCTAAGCCACTGATGCAAGGGAATTTTACTGAATAATTGGTTGGTTTAAGGATTTGTGTGACCTTGGCAAGACCGATCGAAAAGGAACTTTACTTTATGGATTTATAAATTAACTCCCTTGTATTATTCATTCATATAATCTTACCGTTAAAACTTAATTTTGGGTAAATTAAAAAACAAAAGAACAAACGAGCGTGATGAGATGTAAGTACGAAACAAACATACGTTGCTGTCTTATATCGTGTAGCCCATCATAGTTGCTATTTTAAATTGTGTAGCCCATTAACTCAATCAACATAAAAACCGTATGGCATGTTTATTGTTTATATTTATAAATTTTAGTCCCTATGAACAAATGCAATGTCCCATATTAATTGAAGTGTTGTAACATAACGTGAGCTGGCGTTTTATGGACAGTTGTTATGGGCAATAACAATTAATATTCAAAGGGCTTTAAAGATGGCAATGGGGGGAGGGGAGGGGTGGGGTATGGCTACAACGGGGGAAGGGGGAGGTAACAACGTTTAGTCTTCGATGGTTAAAATCAATTCAGCGAGTGTGAGCCTCGTCTGGCGGCAAATGTCCATACGAACTCGTGGCATGGTCGTCTGCTCAAAGTGAGCCGTGGAACATCGGTTACATTACGCTCAAACCGCCCGCTGTCCAGTTTTCTGCGATATATTCGTTATTAGCCTTAACCAATCAAAGTGTTACGCTGTGGATCATATTACGTTCATTAAAGGTAATCAGAGCTATGGTAATGTCTTAAACTTCATGATTTTTTTAAAACCACACACTACACTACTTTGTTTTAGGGTAGAAGACACGTATTTTAACTGTTTCATTTATTTTAAAACAATTTATTGTTTTGAATCTGATATTTTAACAGACCCTCAAACTTAATTTAAGCAGATTTTTGTCCGCGATCTTTAATGAACAAAATTGAAACATGCATCTCTCTTTGTCAGTTGTGTTATATAAACTTGTAACGTGGAAACAAATGTGACCAAACACATGTAACAACATTTACAGCAGATTTCAATACATTTTCTACTAAGTGGGCCACTGTTTGTGCAAGTTCCCATGTAGTTCTGACTTCGTTTGAATTGTATCGGCATTATAACAAACCCAAGTAAAACTTGACTTCTGCAGGATTTGATGGAGTAGCCACCAGCAGTGGCGTAGCGAGGTCGGGTGTCACCCGGTGCGGCACTTAATGGTGTCACCCCGCAGAGGCGTAGCGACCCTTCCCGGGGACAAACTTTCAAATTTTCGATTTGCACCCCCCCCCCCCTCAAACTTTCGATTTGCACCCCCCTCAAGTTTTCGATTTGCACCCTCCTCAAACTTTCGATTTGCACCCCCTTCAACTTTTTCTCCATATATTTTGCTATTTTTTGCCTTGGTGTCACCCCCCTAAATGGTGTCACCCGGTGCGGTCCGAACCCCCCGCCCCCCCTCGCTACGCCCCTGGCCACCAGTACAATATTTTAAAGTCAGCTTGCACTAAAAAAGGTCTCAGCATAAAAGGACTTTTTTTTTTTAGGTTGACCTTATGACACCTGTCGGAGAGGGGAGGCAACAAAAAATCGCAAAGTTAACTGAAAAAAATATTTTCATGCAGTCAAATTAATACTTTACATTAGTAATAACAAACTGACACCATCCGACGCGGGAAGATAACAAGGCAACAATTCAAATTCAACTGCTAATAGTTAAATACGCAGAGAGAAAGTGTGTGGATGGATGAGGTGTGAGGGTTGTGGGGGGGGGGGGGGGGGTGGGGGGGTGCCGGGGGGGGGGGGTGCCCTATGACACATATCGTTCTGTTTCGCTGTATCTTTTCTGAATTCCAAATCTTAAAGAGTGGGCAGGGATGATTGTCTAGGAGAGTGAAAGAGACACTGGTTAGGGATGACACCAGATTAAAAAGCTAGATTACTTTATCCAGTTGGCTGAGTTCACTCGCGTTGGTTCGATCTGATAGTTTGGAACACAAACACTGCTAAAGGCCGTTCATGGTATTGGTGCTAGAGGCCGAAAAATGGTCCCACCGTGCTGTAAGCTTTACCGAGACGCCGCGAGTTTACTTCATTGAAGATGAGTTACCGCAGTTAAACTCGGTGGTGACAATAGTTTGGGCGGTAACTGAGGGTGTCGGGTGTCACCTCCATTGCACTCCAACCAGTTAACATTTTAGGTTTGGTATCTCCCGTCTCCTCTACTATTTTGTTAACTGGATGAAACATTTTTTTTACAGTCTTTCTTCATCTTCGTTTCTCATTGTAATGTTGGATGGGATTTCCCCCAACACATTTAAGTATTACCGACCAGTGGCGTAGCCACGATCGTCTCATGGGTGGGGGGGGGGTCATTTTTTCCCATCATTATATATCAGAGGCGTAGCGACCCTTCCCGACGCTCGGGGACAAACTTTCGTTTTGCACCCTCCCCTCAAACTTTTGATTTGCACCCCCTCGAACTTTTGATTTGCATCCCCCCTCAAACTTTCGATTTGCACCCCCCCCTCGAACTTTTGATTTGTAATCCCCCTCCCTGCCTACGCCACTGTTACCACCCCAAATACGCCGACTCATGCTTTGACAGTACATTTTACGTTTTTTTTCTGGTGGAATCGTCCCCCCCCCCCCACCCCCTGGTGTCATTCGATGCGGAACGCAGCCTCGCCTTGTGAAGCCACTGGTCAGACTATCTACCTTCTTCTTCTTCTGCGTTTTTAATTTAGTTTATGGTGGAGGATTTAAACAACTAGCCCAACTTCGTGAATGAACTGGACTCTCCAGGTCAGCGGGTGCCCCATATAGTTTTTCCTTGAGTGGGGTGTATATGGGCCAGTCTTTGGATTGCGCCTGGCTATATAAGGAACTGTCCTGAAGGACGTGCTCTGTATTATCCTGGGCTATGCCACATGGGCAAGTTTCGCCCTACCGACTATCTACCGAATACACATTAAATTCAACATACACACAATGGGATGTAAACCACAAATACATATACATAGGCTACATCTAGTTGACAGAATACCGAGCAGAGATACAATAGAAGGGGGAGAATCACGTTTTGTGGAGATTACTTACTTTCCTAAAGTAAAAAAAAAGAAATAAACCGGGAGTGATCTCCTCTAAACTTTCTCGAATATTCTCATATAACTTCGGAATATAGACATGATTTTTAATTACTTAAACTTTTAAAAATAGAATAGAATCTCATAGAAAAAAGAATTTCGCACCAAGCGAACGCCAAAACAAAATGTGCATAAAAGTGCGCAATATTATTAGTACTTTATAAATTTACAAGCGTTTTTTGAGAAATCGGAAATAGCGTAAATTAGTACTTCCAGTTAACGGAAATTACTCAAAATTTGACAGAAGGTAGAGAATTGGATCTTTTACTTACACGTGAAATTTCATTTCTCTATCCTAAATAGTACGTAAGTTATAGGCTTTTGAAAAATTTAAACTAGAAAAAGTATCGCTCAAAAGTTGAGACGGATCTACGATTTTGATAAAATACTTATATATGAAATTTCATCAACCTAGCTGTAACGGTACTCAAGTTATCGTGTTTACACACAGACAGACACACACACACACAGACAGACACACAGACATACGGACAAGATTGCAAAATTATATTTTTCCGTATCAGTGAGGTGTAAAACGTCGAGATTTGTAAAAATCTCGATTTTTTTTTGCACGATTACAAGACTTTCTCTACACTTCGTATATACGAAAAAGTTTGAAAAAAAAGCAAACAAACCAAATCCCCATGAAATGATGAAATGTTTACAGCAGTGTAAAGTTAACACAAAAGCACTCGTGTGTGCTTCGGCAACATTTATTGCTGTGTGGATGAGCAGCTAATGGCATCAATTATTGCGGCTTTCCTAAAGTGCAGGGATCTGAGTGAACGGCCGATCGCATTTATATTCATAATATTCGACAATACAAAACCAGGACGCGCTGTGTGGGGAAAAAAAAATCAGGGTAGTCGTGTTTACACTAAGGGGAGGACACCTAGGAGGTGCCTGGATAAATCTCCCCCCCCCCCCCATCTCCACTCACAATCTTAACGAAGGTTTACTAGAAATTATCTTCATTTTTTCTCTGGAAATAATTCGACAAAAAAGCCTTCTCATAAAATACCCTCTATGCATCGTGAATCTACGGCCCCCAGACCCCATCAAATAACCCCTTCCTCAGGGGTCGGCGTGGTCATGAGGTAAGGATCGTGGTTGCTAAACGTAAAAGAAATCGGCGTCAACGAACTATATTGCTCTTATAAGGTGGACACGTAATACCTAATTGTGTTGGAAGAAACACCGTCCAACATTGTAATTAGGAACCAAGAAAAATAACCGCTCCCTTCATTACTCTCGTCCTCAGATACAACCCCACGTCATATTCCAAACATTTTCAATGGTGACTTCCCATTCCAACCACTAAGCCCGACCAGTGTTTCTTCCAGGGGGGGGGGGGGGGCGGACAATGTAAAAAAATATTTTGGAAGAAATTCTGAGCCCGACCCCCTCTCACACCAACTTTCTTTCTCAAAACATGATATGACACGACACGCTAAAATCTTAGACCCAACGTTTAACACGGGCCAACACGATTATGTTAGGGGGTCATCTATAAATGGTATCACGCAATTGTAGCTGTTCAGTGATGTCACAACCCTTTAACCCTACGCCAACAATCACATAAATATGAATAAAATCTTATTTTCATAATTGTCCTACTTAATGAAAACATAGCGTAAGCTTTTACATTATTAAACCACCGCCGTTGCTTAATTCAGACATAAAGATAACAAAACTTTTCTGACTCAGGAAGATGTAAAACGCCGAGATTTGTCAAAATTTCAATTTTCGATTGTTTCCTTAAGTACAATACTTCCTCCTATAATCCGCGTACGAGAAAGAAAAAATAAAAATATCTCCAAAAACAACGATGAACGAAAATAGAATATTCAAGGAAGTAAAGTTTAGCATTATTACAGATTATCCTCGGATGATTCTAATGCTCTTTACTGAACACGAACATATTCGGTTCAGGCGCTTAGATCTAAATTTAGAATAGCATACACAAAGTATTATAAAGTCTATAAAGTCTACATACAGACACTGGGCTGCTCAATATGTTGTACAGGAAGGTCCACATATGGTCAGTATTCTAGCACTTTCATATGTTCAGAATAAACAAACTATTCTAGTCGTTTCTTTCGATCTACTTTTCTACTTATACTTCTCAAAACTTTCCTCCTAGCTTTGTATTTATACTTATCAATACTTTTTAAAAACTTTTTGTCATACTTTTCTAGAAAATATGTGTCCGTCTTTATATTTGAGGTGTTCAAACAATGTTTGGTTTGGGCAACATTTGATAAAACCGTCCATACACGGGCAACATTTTAACCGTCCATACACGGGCAACATTTTAACCGTCCATACATGGGCAACATTTTAACCGTCCATACATGGGCAACATTTTAACCGTCCATACATGGGCAACATTTGATACAACCGTCCATACACGGGCAACATTTTAACCGTCCATACACGGGCAACATTTTAACCGTCCATACATGGGCAACATTTTAACCGTCCATACATGGGCAACATTTTAACCGTCCATACATGGGCAACATTTGATACAACCGTCCATACATGGGCAACATTTTAACCGTCCATACATGGGCAACATTTGATACAACCGTCCA